GTTATGTTGCAGTAGCAAACCAGCCTTTCTTGCTTTGGTTTTAACAGAAAAGTTCATTGTTTACTCACTCTACATGCCCTTCAAAGGCAGACAGTTATCTGTGCTCTGTGCCTCCTCCCTCAAGAATGGGCCTCCATCACATGTTGCTGGGTCAGAGGGAAGGGATGCATGCTCACTCTTAAAGGCTTGTGCCCACTGTACTTCTTTGCATACTACATTGCTTAAAGCAAATCACCAGGCCACGGAGAACTGAGACCCTCCACCTGCCTGGGAGAAGGGGAATTGAAATCTTTGTGGTTAACTCAACAACTGATTTACTGGGACTTCTGACACTTTAAAGTGGGCAATCTGTCATGTGAAAAGTATATACCACAAAGTATTTTGTGACTGTAACAGTGCTTGTCTTCCAGGAAGAACCACCCTGGGAGGCCTGAGGAAAGAAAACCTAAACACTCTTATTCTTTTTCTATCTATAATAACAAGTTATTTGCCTTCTAGGCACAGCAAGAGATTAGTTCATTTAGTCAACATATCTTTATTTAGCTCCAACTAAATGCCAGTGTTGGAAACACAAAGACAAAATAAAGCAAATATCTCGGCTCCCAAGAAAGAACAGTCAGCTATCCTGTGCCCCAAATAAGCCTAGTTATCCTATGGGGTTTTCAGGTTGAGGCTTGATGTGCATCTGGACTCCGCAGAGATCCACGTGGGAGTCACCAAGTGAAAGGACTCCTGAAGAAGCCACCAGTCCAGCAATCAGAGACTGCTGAGTGTTTTCGTTCCAACCTGACCCAGGACCAAACACCCTCACTGCTGCTTGTGTGACTGCTTCCCAGGTAACTCTCCCACCTCTTACCTTGGTTCTTGCCTTGTCTTTTCCTTACCTCACAGTCTTCCTAAGGTTTCCTTCCTTGTGACCCCCACCCCCAGTCTCTGGGCCCATGTCTCACCACTCTTGACTTGAATTTTTCTGTTTTCTACACACCACAAGTTTCCTGCCTCTAAATTCCTCACTGCCGAGAGCCCTTTCACTCCCTCATCCTCCAACTAACTGTAAAAATATGCTCATGGGTATGCGGAACAAGTGAGCAATGAGACTTTCTTGTTATAATCCATAGAGGTTGTGGGCTTATTTGTTACTGCAGCATAACATTATCTCCTCCTTTCCTTTCTTTGTTCATCGGACCATCACTGCGCTTATCACACTCTTCTGTAATCTCTTGTTTATGCATCTGTCTTTTATACATTTGCTGAGATCACTGAGGACAAAGGAGTGCTCAAAGAACAGGCTCTGGTCAAAGCAAACACTCCAACAATGTCTGTGGACATTTCTGTGGCAGAGAAGTATAATGAGATGATCAATGACATTTGAGCATAAGGGCATCCTATATGAGGACAGTGCTCTGAGTAGAGAGGTCTGAAACGGAAATAAGGCTTCAAGAAAAAGAAAGAATACAATTTCTATCTATAAAGAAAACATTCATTAGAATCTTAATTGTATGGGTTCAGTGTCAAATTGCTCTGTTGTTTAGAGTCCACTTGTTAAGCACTTGGAAATCACTAAGTGTTTTACTTTGAAATATTAGCATTTCTATTGTGCCAGTATAACAACATTGAGACTATTCAGACTTAAAATTAAAAGTATGGATATGTGTATTAAGAGAACATTAGTTGAATGAATAAATGGTGCCTTCCATATCAGATAATATTAAGTATGACCAGGAGTGAAAGAAAACCCCACTGAGCAGTGATAGACAAGATTAAAGTCTTTTTATTTTTGGTACTGGGGATTGAACTCAGGACCTTGCACTTGCAAGGTTGCAAGGCAGGCGGTGGCACCACTAAGCTAAATCCCCAGCCCAAGATCAAAGTCTTTATATTCCCAGCTTCTGAAATATTGTTAGGGTTAAAATGTCCCTGACCTACAAAAGTATGGGGTAGGGCAATCCAGATCCAGTATGGCAATGTCATGGTCATCTTAGTTTTCCATCCTCAAAAAAATTGCTTCTACCTCATGATCAAAAATGGCTGATGCAGCTCTTGCCATTGTATCCGCACTCCAACTAGCAAGAGAAAAAGAAAGGCAAGACAAGAATCCTCTTCTAGGATAATTCCCAGAAGAATTACCAATGCTTCTGCTTATGTCTAATCGGCCAAAACTCAATCATATGTAAAGAAAGGTAGGAAGTACAGTCTATTCTAGGCATCTTGTGCCTGCCAGAAACTGGAGGATCTGAAAAAGAAGAGAATACACATTAAGGGCCAAGGATCAATGTACCCAACATGTACAGGTGGGTGACTCATAAGCATTTTAAACTATATATGACTAATGTGGACTCATCTTTTCTCCAAACCTGGTTTTTCACTAGTCTTCTCCATCTCAGCCAATGAGAGCCGCAGGCTGGCTCACGCCAGAAACTCAGTGTCGCTGCTAATATTTCCCTGGTGTTGATTCTCCCCCTAAAGTGAATTTCAATTTCACCTCTCTTCCTACTATCAACAACTTCCTGTTTCCTAATATTCCTCTTGCTTGCTTCCAGATTATTCTCCATACTGCAGCCAGAATGACTTTTTATGAGAAAAACATCTAAACATGTTGCTTTTCTTCTAAAACCCCACAGAGTGGCCCACAGCACTAAAGATGAAGACCCCAAATCTTCACACTGCTCTCAACGGCCCTGCTGGGGCTGGCCACACTTTGTTCTGCATTCCTCATCTCTTGCTTTCTGGACAACAGCCACACATAGCCTCTGTGGGCTCCTCATCCTCAGAGCTCCCTCTTGCTGGCCCATGCTGGCCCCTGTTTCTACTCCCCTCTTCAAGTGATCATGCCTCTCACCCCTCAAGTCATCATGGTTAGACTTTCAGTGTACCCTCTGCTAGTTTTGCTTTTCACCTTTTACTTCATATGACATATCACAATGTGAATTTAAATGATAATTTGTTTGATGACCTTTACTTCCTTCAGCGATAAGCTCCTTGGATCTGATGAGTAGGTACCACGTACAATTCACTGCATCTTTGGCATTTAATAAAATGTCTGCACTTTGCTACTCTAGGTGCCCAGGGAGGAGTAATCCTGCAGAATATCAACCCCAGGACTGATGAGCCAGAATCTGCATTTTAGCAAGATCCCCAGGCATTTCCCATGCAGAGTCCAGGGTCAGGGGCATTGGTCTAATGTATACTAACCACAGTAGTAATTACAACAGTAACATTTACAGGGCATTGACAATGCTCCAGGCATGGTTGGGAGCACATTAACCTGTATTAACTCTTGTACCTCTCACAGCAACTCTATGGGACAGATATCATTTAACAGTTCTGTTTTACAGGTGAGGCGGCTAAGGCACAGAGAGATAAAGTAGTTTGTTCAGGTCACACACCTAGTAGTAGCAGTAGACTACTAGTAGTTAGTATACTCAGGTGCAAAAAGATCTGCAGTACCTGACATGGTAGAAGGTGCATAGTAGTTATTAATGGCATTTTAATAAATGCTAATAGAGAGCTGAGATGTTAACCCAGGTTGAATGGCTCCAGACACTTGACCACTCAGTGTGTGAAAAATATTTATCAAGCTAACCCTATTAGTCTTCCACAATATCTAACACACATTTGATGTAAACCTTTTACATATGATGAATGATTGTGTGAATGAATGAGTGGTAGAGTCACTGGAGGAAGGTCTCTCTGGAACCTAGGCTTTTTAAAAAAAGTGGTGAAAAGAGTAGTGGCTCAGAAAGTGATTTGGAACTATTTGCCCCCAAGTGATGAAAAACACCCTGAGATTGGAGACTGTTTCGGGTACTGAAGACCTGACAAGCCAGAGAGGAAAATGGCATGATACCAATAAAAACAACCATAATGTCACTGGTTCATGCTCTAATTTCATTGTAAGGTACTTAATATCTTCCTGGGACTTCCCACAATGTGTCTAAACAGTGTTCATTAAAAACCTTTCTCTGACCAGGCGCCTCAACTTCCTGCTACTTCTCATGAGACACCTTGATCCCTTGGGCCAGTCACTGTGACTGTGTCCTGCTGGTCCCCCAGTCCCACCACCTCTGGCTGCAGAAGAAGTGCTGGAGGGGCTCACTCTGCTAATCCTATACTCACTGTGTGGTCAGTGGGAGAATACCTTGGCACTTTGTGCTACACTCCACTGGGGGTACTAAGGCTGGACTGCATGTATACTTGTCTTTATGGAAAATTCAAATAGACTTCTGTCCTCCACAAGGCTCAGGCATCCATCTTTTCTCAGGCTCAAGCATACATGAGAACTAGGCCACAAGTCAGTCTTGGAATCAGTGTTGGATCTAGCTGGCCACACACGCCTGGATCCCACTGTCCTCTGTACGTTCGATCTCCAGGGGCTCCTCACTCCCGATCCAAGAGCTTTTTACAAAACAGTTTGACAAGAAGTCCCAAATAATTCTGAGCATCACCTTAATCTTAAGTTTCCTCCAACCTGCTTTTCTCCTGTAGTAACCTAGAGCTTTATATGCTAAACGTTTGTTTTATAAAAAGACTGGAATTTCTAAGGGTATGTACGTCAATTCAGAGTGTGGAGGGACGTGTCCTTTAACTTTTATTGCCCTAAATCTTACTACGATTCCCTCGCTATTCACTAACCAGTTAGACCTAGCTTCCAGGCACTTTAATCATTAACCTTAAGAAAAAGTGCCATTTCTCTATTTTATATATGAGAAAACAGTATCCGTTACAAAACTGTCTGAAGGTCACACGTTTATCAATAAATAAGACTGGATTCGCATTCCCAACCGTCTCGCCCAAATACAGTGAAAGACTTTGAACCTGTGTGAGAGGATAGTAAACCAGTGGGAGTGAGATCCTCTACCCTCAAAAGAAAAAAAGAGGCGTTGACCCTGTGTTACGCTAACGACCAGGCTTGGCTTCCTCCGCTTTCCGGCCGACCTAGTCGGAACCCCCGCCCCGTCTCCCAGCCTAGGCCACTCACAATCCGCTCACAGCAGCCACTTCCTGTCCAGCCCCGGGCGCGTCCCGTCAGAGCTGAGGAGTGGCGCTGGGGTCTCCCTTTGGACCTGGTCTTGGACTGGCCCTCAGGTCTGAGCAGAGGCTGCTGGTTTGATCCCCAGCGGATGGTACGGTACTAGCAGCGGGCTGGGACGTCCTCTTTGGGCACTGCGTCGACCGACGCTGGGGAGCGGTTGCCGGGCAACATGCGGCC